GAATCATTTTCAAAGTGAGTAAGCATTTTAAGAAAAAGTCAAGGAAGAGGGAAAATCCCTTTTACTTCTTATTCTATTCCTATAACTGGTTTATTCAGAACTCTCAACTTATTGGGGCTATAAACATGAAATGGTTTCATTGCTGTCACTACCAGTCCCCAACTATTTTCTGTGGAATTCACAAGTAGCAACAGCTCAATGATCAAACTGGCCTGACTTCACAATATTCCTTTTTGGAGCAGGGGGCAGTACTAGGGATTAAACCTAAGGAATGCTGAGCTGTACTCCTGGCCCCTTTTATTTTTTATTTTGAGACAAGATCTCACTAAGTTCCCCAGGTTGGCCTCAAACCTGCCTCTCTAGCTGGGATTACAGGTGTGTGCTGTCATGCCAGGCTCCTAATTATTTTTTAAAAGGAAAATAACAGATGTTAACAAGGATGTGTAGAAGCTAGAACATTCATACAGGGTTGGTAGGAATCCATGATAGTGCAACCGTGGTAGAAACAGTATTTTCCACTTCTGGAAAATACCCGAAGCCACTAAAAGCAGGGACATGATCAGACAGTAACAGTATTATTCATAATAACCAAAAGGCAGAAACAACCCAACTGTCCACTAGCAGGTGAATGGATAAACAAAATGTGGTCTATATACACAATGGAGTACTATTCAGCTTTAAAATGCTACAAGAATGAGGAGGAGGTTAGGGTGTGGCTGTTGCAGGGCTGGCCACTACTGTTTGTTGACTGTCAGCAAGCCCTGAGGAGTTATGGTTGGCTAGCTCCTGGTGACTTTTTTCTCCTCCTGCTCCTCCTCTTCCTCCTTCCTCTTCCCCTTTGCCTTCTTCATCTTATTTGCCTTCTCCTCCTTCTCCCCCTTCTCCTTCTCCTTCTTCTTCTCTCTCCTCCTCTTTCTTCTTCTTCTCCTTCCTCCTCTTCTTTCCCTTCTCCTCTTCCTGTTTTTTTCTTCTTCTCTTTCCTCTCCTTCTTTCTTTTCCCTCTTCCCTTTCCCCTTCTTCTCCTCCTCCTCTTCCTTTATTTCTTTTCCTCTTTTTGTGATGCTTAGGACAGAACCCAGAGCCTCACCACACCCGCTCCCATCCTGGTGACTTCTGGCCTTGGAATGTTAAGAGATGTGCTAGGAGATGAGAATGTTAAGTCCTGGGTACTGGCCCTTAGGTTTGGTTTGGTTTTCTGTTGCAATTTTAAGATAACAGGAAAACTGCACTTAAAGTTGTATTGTTCACAGTAAATGGGAGCATTTGGTGTGATTTCCCCTTTCTTTTCCTGTTGTCTTCGTAGGAAGAGTGTGTTTGTTTGAATCGTATTTACCAACTGAGAGAATGAAATAAAATAGTTTGAACTGTACATAAGGGACCCATATGCTCCCCCCAGGGAAACTGCCCTTGGAAATACAATGGAGACCTCATGCCTGAGAGCCACATCATGTCTACTGGACCACGTGGGGTAACACAGCTGTTGGGTCTGGACACATAGAGCAGACCTAGACCTCAGCAGAGTAGTGGACAACTCTCCACGCAACGTGCAGGAAGTGTGACTACAATAAATTAAAAGGTTTCTGCACAGCAAGGGAGATGAGTGAGAGTCAACCTACAGGATGGTAGAAAATCTTTGCTAGCTACCCTTCCAACACTGGATTAATTTCTAAAGTATATAAAGAACTCAAGAAACTTAGCACAAAAAAAAAAAAAAACCCAAGTCACCCAATTTAAAAATGGACACATGAATAGACACTTCTCAAAAGAAGTACAAATGGCCAATAAATATATTTAAAATGTTTACCATATTTAAGCCATTTGAGAAATGCAAATAAAAATTACACTGAGGTTCCATCTCATCCCCATCAAAATGGCTATCATCAAGAATAAAAAAAAAAAAATAAACGTTGGTAATGTGACACATTGCTGGGGGGGATGTAAATTAGTACAGCAACTATGGAAATCAGTATGGAGTGAGTTCCTTCAAAAAATTATAGAGCTACAAATTGATCCAGCTATACAACTCCTTGGTATACATCCAAAAGAATTAAAGCAGCATAAGGTAGTGCTACCTGCATACCCACGTTTATTGCAGCACCATTTACACTAGGCAACATATGGAAACAGCCTAGATGCCCACTAATAGGTGAATGGATGAAAAATGTGGTAAATATACAAAATAGAGTACTTTTCAGCCACAAGGAAGAATGAAATTAGGTCATTTTCAGCAGTACAAATGGCACTGAAGCATGTCATGTTAAATGACATACATCAGGCACAAAAAGATAAACACTGCACATTCTCCTTTGATTCTCATCAATACTCCCCCAAGTGTTATTGGCCTATGTAGGAACTTAGCTGCTGTGCATAGCTGTGTCTCTGAGACTCTACCCAAAGGAACACTTAACAGACAGACCACAGATAACTTTTGCATGACAAAGGAATGCAATGTTGACAGTGCGTTTTGGTTGTTTTCATAAAACAGTCCTTGTTCTTTTTTTGTGTGTATGTCTTTCTTTGAGACAGGGTTTTGCTATGCACTTCAGGCTGGCCTTGAACTCACTTTGTAGCTGAGGCTGGCCTCAAACTCACAGTAATCCCCTGCCTCAGCCTCCCAAGTGCTGGGAGTATGGGCATGTGCCACCACACCTGGCTTTTTTTTTTAATTTTTTTTTAAAGTCCTTGTTCTTGGGCCCCCGGCACCTGAGAAGCCACGCAGCAGGGAGCGCTGGCCCTCGGGCCAGGCCCCGGCCTCGCAGGCACCTGGGAGGCAGGCAGTCAGTGCCCGGGAAGCCATACAGCATCATGCACTGGTGCGCGCCGGGCCTCAGGCCAACCACCCCACGTGGTCGAGAACTATCATGGCACAGAGAAGCAATGACACAATTGGCCTGCCACACACCGCCGGCGGAGGCCCACCCGGGGACATGTGTAAACCATCCTGACATGGAGAAACCCCTGGGAATACACGCCACACAACGGGCCACTCTTGCCCCTGCTGTTGAGAACCAGAAAGGTCCAGAGTCAGCAGAGGAACAGCTGCTGAACAAGGATGCAGAGAACATGAGAATGCAGACTAAGCCCGAAGAGTCAGAGGTCCTGTGGACTGGGGTCACGAGAGCCGTTCGGAAGCTGTAAACTGGGAGGACCTTGTGCAATACCTGGGAGACCCCCTGGAAGCTATTCTTCCTAACAGTACAGGCTGCGGTGGAGGAGCGCATGGAGCTCCAGAGAGGTCTGCAGCAAGATTCCTGCTGCCTGTACTGATGGTTGGGGAGAGGACACTAACTGGTTGTGGGGTCCCAATGCGATGGGAGGCTGGAGAGAAAAAGCTATAAAAAATGGCTTTCAAGCCAGATGGCTCACTTGAGATGTTAGTAAGAATTGCCTCCTTAGTTTTTTATAGCCGTGACGAGGAGGAGGCCAAGGAGAGAAAACAAAGAGACTGAGAAAAAGTAGCTGCCTTTGTTGCAGCACTAAGAGAAACAGATCCCAAGAAGAACTCAACAACTGCATTCATCTGCTACCACTGTTAAAAGCCAGGCCACCTCAAGAGGAACTGCCCTCAGAGGCCCCCTGGGCCACGCCCTGAATGCAAATGTGACCACTGGAGATTGGTCTGCCCTCTGAAGCAGAGGCCCCAGAGCTCAGACCCATCCTACCCATTAGTCCAACAGGAATGAGGGGGCCCGGGCATACTCTGCCTTCTCCCTCTGGCCAGACCATCATCTCCATGGAGGGGGCCCTGGCAATCATGACTATGGAGGAACAAGAAAATAGCCTGTTGCTAAACACAGGTGCAAGTCTCTCGGTCCTTCTTTTCTCTTTTTTTTTTTTTGGTTTTTCTCTGGTACCAGGAACTGAACTCACCACCTTGCACTTGCCAGGCAGGTGCTTTGCCGCTGAGCTAAATCCCCAGCCCCTTCGGTCCTTCTTTTCAATCCTGGCCTTCCTTCCAACCGTCACACCTCAGTGAAAGGAGTCACTGGTGAGGAGGTAATACACTATTTTTGACAACCCTTGGGCTGTAACTACTTGTTAGACCCTTCTTACGTATCTCTGTCTTCCTGAGAAAACACTTTGAAGATACCACCATGTATTACAGCAGCCATTGATATTTTCCTACTAATCCATCCATAACTCTGTAATGTTTATATTGTTCCTATCCTATTTCATAAATGGATGTATGTTTATTATTATGTGTTTCCTACAACAACCATTGAGAATAGTTAATGATTATTCAATTGGTCACTCATGTATAGCTCTATTTATTTTCTTTAGAAGCCACTTTGAAGATACCAAAGTATAGTATAACAGCTATTGATAATCTCCTACCTCTTTTGTCTGTAACTCACTATTATTTGTCTATTTGTTTTCCTGAGAAACTATCTTGTAGATAACAGTATGTAAAACAATAACCATTGATAATTTCCTACCACTTTGTCTGTAATTTGGTAAGCCCCCCTATTATTATGTTAGCTTTCCCTTACTCTTTAAAATAAAAAAAAATAAAGTCCTTGTTCTTTTTTTTTTTTTTTTTTTTTTTGGTTTTTCTCCGGTACCAGGAACCGAACTCACGACCTTGCGCTTGCCAGACAGGCGCTTTTGCCGCTGAGCTAAATCCCCAGCCCCAAGTCCTTGTTCTTAATAGCTGTATAACCTAAACTTTTCCCTCATTTTGCATATTTTGGTTATTTTTAATTTTCTGATAGTGTAAGAAAGGAGATACTATACATTTTTATGTATGAATCTTCATCATTATTTCCACAGGAAATATGGAATTTTACAGTGAACGCATAGAAAAATTTTAAGCTCTTAAAATATTTCACAAAATTACTTTTTCATAGTTGTATCAACTTATGTTCTCACTAACAGTATATAATATTGCCTATTTCATTACACTTCTGTCAGTACTGAACATTAGAATTTTAAAGTATCTTTTGTAGCCCAATAGATAAAAAAAGTGTATATCATTTAAAATTTTCATTTTTTAATTTATTAGGTAATCCACTATTTTAGAGCATAATCACACACAGGAAGATAATTGCTGGGCATTCTTATTTTGTCATTGAGAAAATTTTCCCATTTGGTTCTTAAAGTTTTCTTATCAATTTGTATATATTCTTATATTAATAACATATCTCTGCTGGTCATGGTTAGTTCTCTAAGAACTTTCCCATAGAAACACTTGGCACAAAACAAACCACAAGTAATTGTTTCATGTAAAATGGATGATTCTAAGGTTTACTTGACAATTAAGAATACAGCTAACTGTCAGATTTGTTATACATTGCTTTGCGGTTTGGGCTTTCTTTTAACCTTTACATTTTTGTTTGGTTTGATTTGGTCTGGTTTTCTTTGAGGTGCTGGTGATTGAACCTACAGCCTCACATCCTAGACAACACTCTACCACCAAGACATACCCTCACCAGACTTCCAAATTTGTTTATCATATTTTACAGTTGTCCGAATATTTAAAGTTTTATGTAATATAATCTAATGGTCCTATCTTTCCTGATTTTACCAATTCTTATCTTCTTTCATCTTGAGATCATACAAATATTTGCCTAAATTTTCTCCTAGTTTTAAAATTGTTTAATGTATCTTGAATTTCTTTCAGCAAGTGATGAAAGTAAGAGCTTAAACTAATTATTCTTTCAAATTACTAGTTCTCTCAACTTCATTTATTGAAAATCCCCTTTTCACTTACCTAGAACAATTTCATTATTACACATTAGTGTGTGTGCTTCTATTTCCTGGGTTAAACTATTCTATTTTTATATTTTTTCATCCTTATTGCTTTGTAGTGTTTTTCATAATAACTAGGGCAATTCCCATATTTATCTTCATTTTCATAATTTTCTTAAACTCATCTATTATTTATTCTCACAAACTTATTTTAAGACAGGGTCTTGGTGAGCGGCTAAGTTGCCCAGACTGGGCTTGTGATCCTCCTGCCTCAGCCTCTAAGAATGCTGGGATTCTAGGTATGTCTCACCATGCTGGGCTTGTTCTGCAAAACTTTACCAGAATTTTGTTTTACCCTCACATGGATGAGAAACTGAGACTTACAAAGGATAAACAGTTTAAGGCAACACATTTAAGTAGAAGAAACATACATCAAAATCCCGTCTGTACATATCTCCTTTCAGCCCTAAAGTGCTACAATTTTTAGTTAAAAAAAAATCATGAAATTTGCTTACTAATGACCTTCCCTTTCCAGTCTGCACCCCTCTAATGACCATCACAGATATTACAGTTTCCAAAGTAATTTTACGCAGTAATAGTCAAGTGTCCTTTATGACAAGTGCCAGGCAACAGCTGGAAATATCCTGAGAGCTGGTCCTCAGGTGACTGGGTCATTGTGTGAACGTCACAGCATGCACTTACACAAACCAGGGCAGCCACAACCTCACTGGGCAATACGATCTTACGAGACCACGGTCAAACGTGTCCTGCTGTTGACCCGAACGTGGTCATGTGGCATGTGACCACTACTTTATAAAGTGAAAACATATTTAGCTTAATTTTTTAAGCTTACTCTAAAATTTTTCACTTAGTCAAGGTTCATACAAATAACTAATACATGGGACTCACATAGTGGGTTATTCACTTGTCTGTCACAAATACCTGAGATAACCCCACTAAACAGGAGAAACGTTTACTTTGGCTCACTGTTCAGGAGGTTTCAGGCCACAGTACATTAGCCACGTTGCTTCCGGTCCCATGGTGAGGCAGGACATCGTGGTGGGAACACATGACAGAAACACCTGCTCATCTCAGGAATACCAGGAAGTACAGACAGACAGGAAGGAGCCAGACCCCAATTCCTCCAGGACAGGCTCCATCATCCTTCAATTGGGTCCTGCCTCTTAAAGGTTCCACCTCCCAAAGGTTCCACCTCCCAATAGCACCACAGGCTGGGGACTAATCCTTTCAAACGTGATCCTTTTGGGGACATTCCAGGTGCCAGCTTATAGCATGTATCATCAGCGTTTCCCTAGCAAAGACCACCTTCAGAAGGCACGTGGTAGTCACCTGGGGACTAGGGGTGTAGTCCAGTGGCAGAACACTTGTGTAGCATGTGTCAGGCCCTGGGTGCAATCCCCAGCCCTGAAAGAAAAAAAAGCAAGCTGGGAAAACTCAAAGTGAAGGTTTCTGTGTTTCCTGAGTTTTAAAGCAGTAACAATACAGTACTATACAGAAGACTTGCCGAGGTTTCTTCGTTCCATTTTTCCTCCCAAGACATTAAGTACTTTTATGAATGCCTGCCTTTAAGTTCCCCCCTTTAACCTCTCTTTTATTTTAACCTCACTTAGCTCGTCCCTTCTCAGCACATAATCCCTTGCCGTGTGTTGTGTGTTCACAAAAGCGCCTTGACAAGGTGTGCTTCGAGATGATTAGCCGGCCTGCGTTCAGCAGTTAAGCTGGGTTCCTGGCTGGGTCTGCATCAGCTCACAGGAAAAACCACCTGATCGCGATTCGCACGAAGATTTGGTGTGCTAGCGGGGGTGGCCTCATTTCCCCTAATAGCTCTTGGTGGAAACTTTTCTTCTGAGCCTCATTCCATCCCTGTTCATTTACTCTCTCCCTCTTTATTTCTTTTCTTTTTCCCCTTCTTCCTAATTCCGTCGTCCTTCAATATTTCTTCTTCCTTACTTTTTCTTTACCTATAAGAAAAGAGGCCCCATAAAAGCTTAACCAAGCAAAAGGACGGTAATGAAACAGGAAAAACAATTCTGGGAAACACATCAAAATACATTTTATTTTCTTTCATCTGAATTTCTAAGACAAGAGTTACTTATTATTACCTTTTAGTTATACACTATGATAAACGCAGCATGGGACGAAAATTTAAGGGAGAAAAATCATAGTCGGAAGGCTTAGGTCTAGTATTCAGCAAGGATTAGGGACTGTCAGAACCAATTCTCTCCTGGGTTTGGTTCAGAAAGAGGGGGATAATAATACTTGCCTAATTAACTAGCATGTTGAGTAGATTAAAGTGCTTAGTAAACATTAATTAAAGATGCAGGAGTTAGGTGAGGCCAATATGTTATTAGAGAAAAAGTTTTCTGCCCTTTAATCAGGTATCTGTTTCTGGGGAGGGCAAAGAAATGATGTAAGGGCGAAGGAATTGGGCTCAGCCCTGAGGATGCCAGTGACGCGGTCACCTCTGCAGCCAGCCACTTCCTCAGCGTTCTGTGAAATCAAGTCAGCACGCGCATCTTTAGAATAAAGACCGATGTAATGTGTGCCATTCCAGTACGTAGCAAACCCCACGGTTAATAAAACCCGTGTCTTGCTTTCTCCCTCCCTAGCGAGTTGTTCCACCTTGTGAAACTCTGGTGACATGAATCCCACCCCCTGAAAGGCTTCCCAGGTCGAGCTCTCAGCCTTAGGAGATATTTCCACGGGGATAAAGACGAAAGCAACACGGGCGGGGGGTCAGCTCTCGGAGGAGCTTCTTCAGCCTCTGAACCCCAGTGTACCCCTGTGGAACTTGCGGGTGAGAAACCGGAGATTCAAACAGCTAGGAAAAGAGACTTTTAATGTTCTCACCACGAAGAAACAAGTGATCGAAGAGCGAGCTGCGCGTACCCCGGTTTGAACACGACACAATTATGCGTGCGCGCAAACACCACGGGGCGCCCCACGAGTAGGTACAGTTTTGGGTGTCAGTTTAAAGAACTAAATGTACGATTAAAAGAGAAAATAAAGAAACCATAGGATTGTTTTAAAAATTAAACGAAACGATGTGTGTACATAAATGGTCAACGAGCGGCAGCCCCCGCTCCGCGGCACACGAAGCAGGGCCCCCG